CACACCGGCACGTCGTCGAGATCGGTTCCTGACACAAAGGCAGGTCAGTCAAACGCCCGTCATGAATAAACGTCAGTACATGTAGAGGCACTAATCCTCAACTGAAAAAGTTCGCTACTGAAAACTCAGAAAGTCGCTGTCGACGAGAAAGCAAGATGTTCATAAGATCTGCAAGCATTAAGCAGTCTCCAATGACAAGCTTATTTTTCAGATCATGAAAAGATACGGAATTCTAAATACCAGGAGTAGGGGGAGATGAACTGCGGCTGCTGGGAGACTTTGGCATTATGCTTTCTAGTGCGCTGAGACTCGTCAACGAACCGCTCGTTTTGCTAGAAACCGAAAAAGCGATCAGCGGCATTCACGCATACACGAAGACAAGAACATACTATTTGGTAGACTTGGACGAATGCAGCTTCAGGTACTCTAGTCTAGCGGGTGAAGGAACGAAGCCGAGCTCGCTGCCTTCCTTCACCAATCGACCGATCCACCAGTTGTTGTTGTATTTCTAAGGGAACAAGCACTGAACATGAGTCACGACAGCGACATATTTACTTCTTTGACGTGCAAGAATTCACGAAGGCCAAACGACACGGCGCAACCGTGAACCGGACAGTCCTCGTCGTAGTTGCCATCGTACGCGATGTTCGTTCGAACGGCAAACGCAACGGGTTTGTACTAGAATGCAAAAAGAGAACGATCCATGAAATCGCCTTACAAAACCACTGTCTGCGAAAATTATTCGACCTGCCTAGTTTGCAGGCATTGCACTCTCGTTAGCATACAGGACTAGGAAAATACGCTTCTGACCGGCGCTGCTGGGCACGAGAATGTCAGTGCGTTGTCAGAGCATGTGGAAAAACTTGGAAGAATCACGGATGATCGAAGGAGATCTAGCTCAGTTGATCAAAAGTCATATCTTTCATTAAGTAAAGCTTTTTCCTCTTTAAGCTTACCTTGACTGTCAGTAAGAGAGTTTGTCTTCATAAAATCAGATTCGTGCGTCATACAGACCGACCAACTCCTTCCCCAGAAACAGTTCATATTTCCTGGCAACAATTTTAGCTACATTTTCACCAAAACATATAACAGAGGAAGAAGAAATAATGAATGACTTCTCAAAGACCAGATTTTACGGCGTTTTGCACCGTCCTTTTGATCACAGTTGTCTAGGGACCATTCAAGCAGACCACGGAACGATGTTGGCGGGCAAAATGATGCAATATGTCCAGCTAAAATGTCCTCTATCAGGCAACTAGGAGCGAAGGGTCGGTGCAATAGTCGTGAAATTTGATGTTGGATGAGTCATTCGTTATCTGGCATGTTCGGGAGTACCAATAGCTAATGATGTTTACGAGGATGAAGAAGGTTTTAAGTATAATTAGACGGTCCACCACAACAGACTGCAGTTCTGAAAAGCAAGGGAAAATATGGCTAGCTAATTCAACAGACAGAACAGAGGAACAAAACGATTCGGTGAAGATGGAGGGTCATTTCCTGCCTAGAATTCCACCACTGAAACATTTCGGTTCCATCAAACAAGACACGGAAAATGCAAGAGTGATTTAAGAGATGATCAAGGAAGCCTCCATGAATAACATTAGTAAATTAAGCAAATTTGCCTCAGATAAAACGCTGTTTTTTCATTCTGGTTCCAGCGTCAACAGCATTCATTGAGTGTTAACATATGGCAGGGATTCTGAAACGTTAAAATATGGCGTAGAATTGTTACATGATTCCGTAACTTAACGTTTTATACACGTTTGAAACGTTCTTGAGAGTTTTAAATTACGTAGGTGACATCGAACCCTCTTCTTGAGAAGTGAACGGTCTCCTCTGCTACAAGAAAGTGCTCACTGAGTTAGAGCGGAAGCAGAACTAAAGCAGAACAATAGATCAGTATCAAACAACTTAAGGCAGAGAAATTATGATCAAACCAGAGATATAAGCAATAATGAATAATGACTTCCGTATAAATTCTTTATCTGTTCAGATCATCATCTCGAACCGTCCGCTTAAGAGAACGTCTCCAGCTTGTGATGCACCTGTGCCCGTAGCTTCTCAACATTTTTGCACCGTAAAATGGAATACTCCTCCTGACAGCAGATTCGCCTCTACCTTTCTCTCCAGGTGCATGCATGACTACTGGTCAATGTCTGCCATGTTTCGACTCCCACCTGAGAATTTCAACGCTCAATCAGTTTGTCCAACGGGGCAAACTTCACTTTCCTAACCTCCACATCTACGAAGACCGTCTGCACTGGGAAGAGAATAGTCCTCTCTTAAGTAGTCTTACTGCCATTTAACCTTCATCATGCGCCTATGCCAGTGCTGCATTACGAACTTCAACTATCGTTCTTGCTCTTTCGTTAGAAAAACTGCCTCAGTGCCGTACGACAGCATTGAACGACACAGGAAAGCAGGCAAATTTTGTGCAGAGTTGCTCCTTTCTCAGACCAAACACTGGACAGGTTTCCAAATACAGTCGATACTAGGGTAATCTGTCTAATAAACTGTACTTTGATGGTGCCGCAGCTAAAGACGATGGAGCCGAGACATTAAAATTGGTTAAACTCCTGCATAAATGCGAATGCTCAAACGAACGTCCGTCAACAACGTGGGTCACATGTGCAATGCCTTCATATCAGATAGCTAACAAGCTACGGATAGCTCAGAAAATCCAAAAGCTGTCCAAACTTACGCGCAACATTTGTTTGGCCATGTGAATCAAATGGAAAATGCAGTGGAAATATCGAAAACGTCGATAAATAAAAGAACAGTTAGAAATGCGTGGTGCGCTGTCGTAAAGAACGTCATGCAAACACCCAGACAGCTTCAGTTGTTGCCAAGTCAGTGTCATTTAATGGGAAGTAGAAAGATCGTCAAAATAAAGAGCAACATACGATGGTAGAAACACGTTGTCGTGCATCATCCAGAAAAGCTTCTCGGAGCCTTGAGAAAAAATTGGAGAATGAGCTGTAAATATATTCAAACAGCGGAAGCATGTTAACGAACATGGTTGGCAGAAAACAAAGGTAGAACTGAATGCGAAAGAAACAGAGCATGAAAAGAAAGAGAAGCGAAAAGAGACAAATAAGAAGGAGCACGAAGGAGGAGAAAGATAAGCAAATGGAACTGAGAAAATGAAGGATAAAGCAGATAGACGATGGTTAAAGTGATGACCGCTGAGTTTTCCCTGTGCTCCAGAAAGTAAGTCATGTTTTACTGTTGCATGCTTTTTGAAATACCATCATAATCATCATCAGTCTTGGTCGATCTACAGTTGGATGAAGGCTTCCTCAACAACTCGTCGTAAAAGTCTGCTTTTTGCCATTTTATTCATTTGCATCCGGCGCGCTTGTTCAGTTCATAATCTGGAGGTCTTTCCAAGTTACTAAGGCTGATTATTCTTGCTCTTGGAAAATAAACTAATGTTTCTCTAGTCCAGCAAAGATCGCTTCTCCTTGCAATGGATCCTGCTCATTGCCACTTTAACTTCTTTCCTCGGGCAGTTACATCGCAGACTCTACTCTGAGGTTTGTCTTTGAAGCCGTTCATTCGTCTTCTGCTCTTGCACTGTTATTCCTAACGCACATTGTTGCATGCTGCATGCGTAGTCTGCGGTTTCTGAATAGCTTTCAGGCTTAGCGTCCACGTATTGCGCCCACAGGTTAGCAGTGGGAGCAAACACTGACAGAAAACTTTCCTCTTCAAACAGAAAGGCAGTGTTATGGGTATAAAAATTACGTATCCTCCAAAAGTGTGCTATATCATTTTTGTTGATTTCCCATAGCCGATTCACAGTTGCATGTATCAGCTGTCTCAGACTGGCGTAGTTTGACATTTTTCAAGCCAGTTTTTCCGCTGACTTTGACACATTGCGGGATCACGATTTTACTGAACATGACCTGAGTCTCTGATTCGGGTTGATTTTCAGTATAATGATTTAATGTTTGAATTCTTCTGTGGAGCACTTCTGGTGATCTTGAGAGGATCGGAATATCGTCCAAAAACTGCAGCTAGCATTATGTTTGACCCAAGAATTCCTCAACTGAGTATCTGGGAAACCTCTTTTAGGGCTGCTGTAAATAACCTCTATTATACTAATCTCAGATGCCCAATTCGATTTTGAAGTCGCTTATGCTTTTGTGAAGCTTCATCGCACTAGTAGTTGCATCCTTATAAGTCACAACTATCACATTTATCTATCTTTTCTCGACTCCATGGCTCTTTAAGGAATCCAATACGGAAACGTACTGGACGTACACTGAATTAAGAGCTTTCTCGAAATCGAACCATATGTACAGAAAAAGCTGATATTCGTTGCTTGTCTGAATTTTCTGTTGACCACCTGGAGATAATTCATCGTCTACATCCACTTCTGAATACTGCTTGCTC